TAAATAATGACATTTAATATTGATAAAGTATAAAATATAATAATAAATTTTGATTTTTATGTTTAATATATTACAATTGATCAAATTGATCGATATCGTTGCGATAAATTTGATCAGCATCATTGCGGTAAATTTGATCGACATATTTATCAATTTAATTAGTTAATTTATTAGTACCCTAGTATTAATCAAAAATTTTATTTTTGGTGATTGAATAGTATCCGTTACTATTCAAGAGGGATATTTTGCAAAGGGTACTAATGTCAGCGTTATATGGTAATGTTAAATTTGAATATATTTTAGCTTAAAAATCATATTTGATATATAAAAGTAAAATTGATTTTTCCTTTCTTTCTATTGTAAAAGCCCTATATAATAAAGATTGTATTTAACATATAGTTAAATTTGATAGAAAATATGTAATATTTTAGGATTGTTTTAGTTGACATGAAGTTAAACCTTTGGTTGTGATAAATAGGAACCTGAATTCTGATGGTTATATCAATATTTTAGCTAATAATTTATATCATGGATTAATAATTATCCTAACTCTATATTTCAGCAAGATAAATTCTTATGACATACATTAAATTATAATATTTAGTAAATAAGAACACATAATATTCCAGTGTTAGATTAGATAATACAAAGTTCAGATCTTAAACTGATTAAGAATTTGTGAAATTATTTAGATTATCAAATCTGAAAAGAAAATCTTTACCTAAATCTAAATAAAAGTTGATTAATGTAATAAAGAAAAATGGAAAAAATTAGCATTAAAATGATTCATAGCTTAATTTTAAGCTTATCTAATTATATCAAAACAGTAATTAAAGCTAAAGAATGCATATCAAATATTAGTTTTGGTAATTTAAAATTTTAAATAATAAATATTATGTTTAATATTTTATTTGATATTTTATTTATTTTTTTTAAAAAAATTCAATTAATAAAGTATAAAAAAATTTTTTATAAATAGTAAAAAAATCCGATAATTTATGGTAAACTAATGTAAAAAGATTAAAAGGTTAATAAATAAATATCTACCCAAAAAAAAATTTAAGTTCTTTAAATACTTAATAAAAATTGAAACACTACTCAATGATAAATCAACTAAGCTTTAATTCTAACCATAATTAATATTTATTTGTCTAATAATTGTTAAACCATTACAAAAATTTCAGTCTTTACCTATAAAACCAATTTTAATTTTTATTATATAAATTTATTATATAAATAACCTTAAAAAAAGAAACCTATATAAAAAGAATTGAATTCAAGATATGCATCTCTCTTTTCCTTCAATAGCTACTATTGAATTTGAGGTTGATTAATAATACAATCAATTTCTAACTCTAAAGTAAAACCTTAAAATCAGAAATATAAAAGAAGGCATGTTAGGTTTTTTTTTGTAAATCATTGATAGGGAACTTCATAGGTAACTCATAAATAATTCTACAAAAAAATTTATCTCTCGCCCAAATCAAAACGAAATCTGGGAAATATATTCTATGAAAAAAAAAATGAACCATAGTGAAGTGGGTATGACGACAGTGACAAATTATTATGTCACATGATAGGATTTTTTTTTTTGATGGACAATTTATTGTTCAATAATTAGTTCTAATTAGGACGCGATAAATAATTTAATATTAACGACATGCGAAATTTGAAAAAAAAAATAATAATTCATATAAACAAAAAAAAAATCACCCTATTTTAAATCCGTGGAGAGAAGAATCAGAAAATTTCAGAAAATCATGAAAGAGTCAAATAAATAAAGAAATAATATAATCTACAAAAAAGGTAAAAAAAGAATCCACTCCTGAAAGAACCCTCCGAAGAATGAAGAAGGCTACTTATATTCTCAGACACTCTTAAAATGACCTGAAAGAAAACTTCCTAAAATATAAAAAATATATTATTTAGATATTTTAACAAACTAAAAGAAAAAAATTTTTAAAAATTTTACTGTGTCGACTTTTGTATAATTTGTGTATCAATAAAGATGCGGATGTGTGATCCATCTACAATGCGACTACTCTTTCAGACTACCCTAATAACCGCGCTGCCAGAGGATTGCAACAAATATTCTTAAAGACGGAGCCTATCTCGCCTTTATGACTAAGAATATAGATTCCAATTGCCGCGATAACTCTATACATAACAAGAATGTTGGGTAAAAAGCTAGGCAAACGCACAGACATTACTATAGCATCTACTCGAAGGTCTTTTCGTGTGGCAGAGTACAGAAATGCTGCTGTTATTAGTGACAAGTTGTCCTGGATTCATCTGAAAGAGAGTATGCCTGATGACACGTTGCCAGAGGTTTGCAACAGATATTCTTAAAGACGGAGCCTATCTCGCCTTTGTGAATAAGAATATACGTTCCAATTGCCGCGATAACTCTCTACATAACAAAAATGTTGGGTAAAGGCTAGGCAAACGCACGAACATCACTATAACATCTGCTCGAAGGTCTTTTCGTGTGGTAGAGTACAGCAATGACGCTTCATCATTTTTATATATTCAGTTCTGAAGGGAAAAAATTATTTTGTTTAGAAACTTCTACCATATTGATAAAAACCATCTTTGCGTTTCACGTACCTTAGAAAGAAAGAAGAAAAAAAAAATAAAAATAAAAATATTTTGTTTGGTTTTAACTAAAAAGTTCTGATTGGCTGTATAAAATGATTAAATTGACCAATAAATTCAAAAGAAATTTTTTTGACGTGAATAAATATATTAATTAGATTTACATTAAAAAATTGAACACGAGTTACGTATATCTTGAAGAAACGCGTCGAATCGTAAATGAGTATTTTAAGAAATCAGACTCGGCAAAAGACTTTATTTAACGTGAACTATTTGATATTGGCCTTCTTAATTTCACTCGATTACTTGAAAATAACGCCATGCCCAAAGTAAGTTCTGTCCGAATTTCAACGAAAAAAAAATGCGACAGAAGCAAAAAGATAACGGAAATCTTGAATTCTGAAACAAGACTTTCACCTTTTTGGGCGAACACACCAACATCGAATTGGAATGAGGAGTCTTATCTCATTTCGGCAGGCTTCCAAGATCTTAAAGCAACTCAACAAAGCCTTTTCACTCAATACAATTTAATAAAGAAGGTAATCAGTGGTTTTCCTTGTCCCGAATACGAACTCGTTCAGTATACTTAAAGTGTAGAAATGTTGTTCCATCCACCCCATCACGTGATCGCCGTAATAGAGAAAATTTAATGGAAGAAAGGGTCCAATTGGGTAACAAACCCGATTTTCATTTAAAAGAGTCACCACAGCTGATGTGTGGAGAAATTAAGAGCGATAATGATATAAAAACAGATCATTTTAATACCGGAAAACTTTTACAAGAACTTTCAGATGAGTTGGAATTTGTTTTTGGTACCTACCTAAAGTTCGACAAGAAGTTATCATGGAGATTGAAGCGACAGGATACAAAATTCAAAGTAAGTAAACTTGTGATGCTTGTATTATGTAATCGTATTTATCATTTTGTTTTATCTAGAAAAAAGGGTTGGAATTTATGTAATGCGTGTTTTGGGGAATGGTGTTTATCTTGGTGTTGAGGTTGATAACTTTGAGATACCAACCATCTTGCAGAACATTGACAAGTTAGTTGACGGGATTCAAAAAGTACTCATAAGTAAGGTAAGAACATATTCGATTAAACTTTTCTGTTAAGAGTTTATATATATTTACTTATTGAAATTACAGGTGAGATTTGAAGAATCCGTCAAGCGTGTAGAAATCACAAAGAAAGCAATTTACCCTTCTTCTCCAGAGTTAGTGTCAAATTTACCAATGTCCAATTTACCCGGAAAGATTATCAGAGCCACTAATCACTCCCCCAAAAGAGTCTGATTAACCCATTAATTTTTATGTAAGTTATCCTAATAACTAACAATTTTATTTATCTGCATCTTTATATAACTGAAACGAATGAAATTTTATATCTACTCGTAGATTCGGAATCAATTTTGCTTAAATTAGACCTTGATTTTTTTTTGCGTAAACGTTAAAATGCGCCGTACCGTATCCATGCTGGTTATCATACTGCCGGAAGGATGAAATGTTTGACTTTACGAGGACAAGTTTCGTTTTTTATTATTGATGTCAGAAGATAACAAAAGAAATATGTAATAGATTTTGTTATGTATGCTATAATCATTTAATAATTCAGTTATACTATATGAGATAGTATTTATGTTAAATAATGTAAATAATAAATTAGCCCAAGTAAATTTAATTATTTGTTTTAATAATAAAAAAATATTGATTTTTATTATATAATTAATATATTAATCATTAGATTTCAATTTAAATTACAAATTTACTTTTAAATATTCAAATTTTTCATCAACATCATTTCAAATATTGAGATCTTATTTTAAAGAAATGATAATAATCTGATAATTTTTATAAAGTATGTTTAATGTAAATATCTTGATTATTTTTAAGTATAACAAATTACATTTACTGGGGATATCTATATTTTCTATTAATATCATGTATTATAACATATAAGATCATGATAATTTAACTATTTTGATTGATTTATACTTTTTCATGAAACCCTTTCTCTCTTTCCCATGAAACCCTTATTCTATTTTTCACAATAATCTTTAATTTCTTTTTCATAAAACTTTTACTCTTTCCTACAAAACACTTATACTACTTTTTTCTTAATTTTTTTCTTTTAAATAATAAGAATTTTTGTTATAATAATTAAAATTAGTGGTTAGGGTTAAAGGGTTAAAGGGTTAAAGGATTAGAAGGTTAGAGGGTTAGAAAGTTAGAAGTTAGGATTAGGACCATATAAATTAGATATTTGGGTAATTGATTCAAATTATTCAAAATTATATTATATTTAATTATTCTATCTTTTATGATAATTTGTTATAAGAAATACATAATTTGTTTAAATATTTTGTAAATTATCATTTAAAGACAATTAATATTTTTTATAAATTTTATTCTTTTTATTACTGTAAATTACAAAAAAATAAAATTAAAAAATTAAGAATTGATAACTAGTTATTCTAGTTTCAAAAGATCAGATAATAATCTAAAAGGATCAATTTATTTTTACTAATTCTAACTAATATTTGACATAATATATCTAGATTTACTATTGGTAGACAAATCATTAATAAATTACAAAAAAATTTATCTATATAGTAAACAAATTGTCAATAAATAGTAAACATATATAAACTAAATAATTATGATTAAATTTGTATTATAGTATATTATAGCATATTACATAAAAATACATTATATAAAATATAAAATAATAATATAAAATACATTTTTCAATAAAATGAATTATATAATATTAAACATTATTAAAGAAATAGAAATTTTGTATATATATTCTATTCTTGAAATTATGATTATCAATACATTCATTATTATTAAACTTGTTTATTTCTTATCTGTGATTCCTGTTCCTATTTATGTAAACATCATCAGCCAATAAAATTTCAGAAGCAATTAAGTTGAAATATTCCACTTTTAATCTAGAACTTTGTTTCAGTTTTTGATATAAAATCCTGATTGTTTAAATCATTAATATTATATTATTTAAACAGCATTTTTTTTTGCATTTTTAAATTGTAATAAAATAAAACTAAACCTTTTAACTTATTGCATTTCAAAATTTACTTAAATATAATGAATTATTAGAATTCTTTAATGAAGAAGTGTTTGAGAAATATGAATTTAAAAAAACTATGATATATGTATTATTAATTATTATACTTCAAATTCAATATATTGAAACAAAAATTTATAATATGCATAAATCTTAAAAATGGTTTAATAAAGTTTTTTTCTATTATAATATTACAAGATTTAAAAAGATTTTTAAAATGATTTCACAAAATTTTTATAAATTACTTTCTCTTATCAAAACATATCAAATTTTTAACACAAATAATAACAAACAATAGGCTAATGCATTTTTACTATTAGCTATATTTTTATGTAGATTAACAAGTAAAGGTGATATATTTACTATTTATTAGCAGAGAGTATTATCATATGGGAGCTTTGCTATTAAAAGTGGGTTCCGAGACTATAAATTGATTTTGAGTTAAATGATGATCAAAAAAT